ATTTATAAAAGCTCTGTTACACGAAAGAAAAAAAAAAGAACGATATCTATTGATTTAGTTCGTGCCACTATTCATGCTATTAGTTAGCATTCCATTTTTTGGAGCCTACGGATCTCGCTGGATGGGATATATATAGTAACGCTTTAATCGGGTAGACTTTCGCTCTCCTCTCCTTGTATGGTCGAGACTCACTTCGCTCTCCCTTCCTACATCTTCTTAGGCGCACGGAGGAAGAGATGCTGCAAAAGATGCAAGTCAATCAGCCGAGAATTTGGACTCTCTATAAGCATGCTGAATTTAGACTTCTCTATAGAAAGAAAGTAATTGCAATAGACTAGCCAGCAACGAAGAATTCCCATTAGCACCCGAAATGACTATCAATCTCCAAAATGACTCGTCATATAACCATATCCCAAGCTAGCAGGAGACCTTGACCCCAAAGTGAACATTTCGCTAAGCTTTAGGCGAGCTCATAAGCCAGAAAGATATTAGGCGCTGACCGATAGTCATAGGCGGATCTCCTTTCAAGGTCAGGTGATACCTTTCTGGTTGTGATCCTACTAATGATCATGCAATGAGTCTTCAACTCATTTGTGAAATCGATGAGGCGGCGACAGGCCAAAGATCAACAGAACGGGATCTTTACCATACATTATTTTCCAATTTTCGATCTTTCGAACGAGAACTCATCGTGATGGGTAGGTGTATCACACCGGCAAGCTCGCCCCCTTTCCGGCGTACATGCAGAAGTTGGGGATGGTATAGCTCTTTGGATACCATTCACTATCAACCCATTCTGCGTACGGTGGCTGGTAATTCGCAAGGGCCTGAGTTGCTAAGCATTGGAATGTTCCTACTGTTGATAACACCTTTCTTCTGGACAACCTTGTATAGTCACTCCTAATCTATGAGCGAAGGAACTGTCGATAAGAAAGACCAATAGATATGGTCAATACCAAAGTTAAGGTGAAAGAGATAGTTTTTCCCTCCACAGAAGGAAGTATGAAAGGTCTTTTCTTTTGCCTCTACTTGGGGGAAGGGAAGAAAGGCCCGGTAAAAGGCATGGAAAGATAGAGTCATGGGCATGGGTAAAGCGAAGGTCAGTCCAACAGTCACTCCTAACAGTCGACGGAAAGGACCAAACTCACTATTTGAATAACTGCCTTGCTACTTGGGTCCTTACTTCAATAAGCCAAGATAAAGCAAACCCTATGAAAAGTTTACAGGCTTCAAGTGCAGACGAGTACAGACTTTACTTGATGACTAGAGCAGGCTTTCAACTAACTGGAAACCGATATCCAACTAGCTCTCTGTCTCTGCGGGAAAGAGCCGGTGCTCTAGCCAGAATGTTTGCAAGTGCAGCAGAAGGGTTTTTAGTTTTAGAATGTCACCGGGCGTTCTATTCTAGGTTTTTTCTTTCGAAAAAAATACATGAAAGGACTAATGTCGGTTAACGCAAACTTGGATACCTATTCAGGGAAGGAAAAGAAAATTCACCTTCTCAATTACATCGACCCAACGAATGAAGCGAAGTGAAGCTTTAAATATAAGCTTCGTTCTGTTAGTCTCACTTTGGATCCCTTATAACTTTGATCCCATAGACTAATTTTCCTTTTGAATATTTAATAATTTTATTTTCTTGACAACAAGCAAAGAACTAAGTGGGGAATTATATTACCTCTTTTTGTACTTATCTTTTTGTGATTTATGTGGTGAGTTGAGTCTAATTAAGCTCAATTTTTTATCCATCCGGTCCATTTTAGTCCATTTTATGTATTTTTTACTTTTGTGTTGTGTTTTTGTATTTTTCGTACTTCTCCGTTTCCACTGGTGTTTTTCAAGTCTATCGATCAAAACATGATCACGACGAATCGAGCTAGTAATCTCGAGCACATGAGACGAGTTCGAGACACTTGTATGTGGGTGAGAATTGGAAGAGCAAACACTGCGCACATCGCCCAATCAAATCTTGAGGTCATCGACTGAAGTTGCTCGCACGTGTCGCTCCAATCGCCTGATGTCTCCCTTTCGCACGCGCGCGTCTCCCAATATTTTCCTTTAGATGTTACCCACATTACTCGATGTCACCCACGCGACACACCCGCTAACTTTTCCCGAGGGATAATGGGGGTGATATTTATTTGTTCGAGGATTCAAACAGCGTGAAGGGACACGGAGGACGTCGGAGTAGCCGGTGGTTGTTCGGGGCTCGACACTATATCTATCAGCCTCATGTAATAAGGTATTTCTCTTTCTCAGCAAATGGGGGAGAAGAAAAGAAGGGAATCATATGGTTTTCGATCAAGGTTGCCTCCAGCGATGCGCCATATAAGAAAAATAAAAAATTTAAAAAGTAAGAAGACGGAAAGGAGAATGGCAAGAGAAAAAAAAAAAAGAAGGAGAAAAAAGAGAGGGAGTATAGTCAATTTGGTGTTTTTTTTTTGAGGAATATTCATATAATTGAAAATCAAAATTAGGGTAGATATGTAATAAAAATATTGTGTGGATATTTTTCTCTAGCCTAAACTCTTATTTTTCGAAACGATAAAAATTTTATATATCACACAAATGTGCACACAGAAAATAACCCAAAGCTGAATGATCCAACGGAGAGATAAAAATTGGGAGGACAGATCCGGTGATCGCCTAGAGACCGAACTAGCAATGCTAGACCAGCGACACAACCACACAAAAAAAAAAACACACACACACACAAACTAAAAAAAACACTACTAAGCTCCAATAATGGAGAATTGAAAATAGCAAAAGAATAATATCCGCTCACACTCGGGCTTACAGAGGTCAACGACCAAACCAAAAATACGACTTCTAATCAAACAACAAAAAATAGAAACACAAAAGACACAAATAAACCTAGCTAAAAAAACGAGCCCTTCCACAGCGGATCAGCCGAGCTGCACCTATAGACAAAAATCGGCCCCAATGAGAGATCATAGGCCCAAGGTACCACTCCTGAAACTGCTGAAAACTGCCTATCCGAAGTCGTACCCAAACCTCGAAACAAACCGAGAATGCCAAGGAGGCGACCAGTCATATTAGGAAAACACTGAGAATTTTGCCCTCCGACGGTGCTATCATCAGCCATGCATCGTTGCTTGATTATACACATGTTGAATGAGTCATCCTCCGATGACGACGACGAATGCATCGCTGTTACAGAAGCACTTCATGAAGTATATGAATCTCTGAATGCACCGGTTCATGGTGGTTATGTACTAGGGCATAAAGTTCTTGATCGTGAAAGAGATGCAGGGTTTTTGCGATTGTTCAAAGATTACTTTGCAGATGAACCTACATATGGCCCTGATATTTTCCGTCGCAGGTTTGCATTTAGCTAATTATAACACATTCAAAGTTGATGTTGGCCACAATGTATATATTGATTTCTTTTGTTAAACGCGCAAATTAAGAATGGAGAAACATGTTTTTCTATGCATACTGGGGGAGGTCATAAAACATGATAAATTTTTTGAGCAGAAGAGAAATGCAGCCGGTATACTCGGATTGTCCCTTTTGCAAAAGGTTACTGCAGCATTTCGTATGATAGCATATGGAGTAGCCGCGGATGCAACTGATGATTACTGTAGACTTGGTGAAAGTACTGCTCTCGAGAGTATGAGAAGGTTTGTGAAAGCCGTTTGTGAAGTTCTTGGTGAGGAATACTTAAGATATCCAACTGTCGATGATACCGCCAGCTTACTTGTCATTAATGAGAAAAGAGGATTTTTGGGTATGTTAGCCTCTCTAGATTGCATGCACTGGAAGTGGAAGAATTGCCCTTCTGCATGGCAAGGAATGTACTGTGGCCATGTGCGAGAGCCAACAATTATTCTGGAAGTTGTGGCCTCGAAAGATCTTTGGATTTGGCATGCTTTTTTTGGTTTACCGGGGTCTCATAATGATATCAATGTGCTTCAACGGTCTCCACTCTTTGCCAAGCTTGCTGAAGGTGAAGCTCCAAAGGTGAACTACACAGTCAATGGTCACAACTATACAATGGCATATTATCTTGCAGATGGTATTTATCCTCGATGGGCAACGTTGGTCAAGACCATAGAGAGATCACAGAGTAATAAAAAAAAATAAAGAGGCAACTAGAAAGGATGTGGAGCGAGCATTTGGTGTTTTGCAAGCTCGCTTTGCTATTGTTCGTGGGCCAGCTTGGATGTGGGATGAAGAGACACTAGGATATATCATGAAGGCTTGTGTCATCATGCACAACATGATTATTGAAGATGAGAATGTGGAAGATCCTGACTGCAATTATGAGAATGTTGGAGATAAGGTACAACCGTCCCATGATCCTTCACCTGAGCTTGCGATTATATTGAAAACGTTAGAAAAATTCAAGATAAAGAAGTTCACTCGCAGCTACAGGATGATTTGGTGGAGCATCTTTGGCAAAACCATCATGATCTTTATAGCAGAGGTTGATATGTGTGCACTGCCACAACAACTCGATCGTATTTTCCCTTTTTGCAGTTGTCTTTAACTTTTAAAGATACAAAAATATCACTTTTAAATTCAATTGTTACTCTTCTGTAGCTTCAGACCTGGTTGAGCTTGTCTCTTCAAATAATCACCGATTAGCTGAATCGTACACTGCTATACTGTGTCACTATTCTAAATCTTTGCAAGAATTAGCATGAGCAAAAATTCACATACAACACCTGAGCAAAAATTCAGATGCCAAATGGCACGCACACAAGTTTCAAAGTAACCCAGCAACATATGATCTTGTCCATTGTACCAGTCTAGTAACACTGGTGAAAATAGTTCGCATATTCCTAATATTGAGCCACAACGGCAGCAAGTCACAAGGATGAATTAACTATACGAAGTCTTGACACATTAAGACTTAAGATATAAAATGGAAAATAGTTCACATATTTCTAAATAGATGATAAGATAAGAAGATCATCTCTGAACCAGGCACTAGCATTCTTCTCCATCCTTCATTCAAAAGCAAACATCATCTCTCAACCAGGCATCTTCACATCCCCTGTTCTCCCTGCATCATCTCTCAACCTGAGGCATGGAACGAGCAACGATCTCCTTCTAGCGGTTACTGAAGTAGATTTGCTGATCGTATGTCAATGCAGTAAGATCCAGCTCATGATCTTGTCTTCCTTGTTGGTTATATTGAACTCAACCTGCTTCTTCTTTAGTGCAATTCATTCTTGTTCTAGTGCAAAAGCTTCTTTATACCTCTCTTTTTTCTTTCGCTCTTTTTCAGCTTCATACTCTTGTTTCTTGGCCCAAAATGAAGCTAAAGCATCATTGTACGCACGATCTCCACCCTTACGTAGTGCTTCTTTCGCCCTCTTCTTACCCGGTGGTCTAATTGGAACTTCATCATCATTACCTACAACCTCTTCATCATCTAGATGCTTGCTGGTAGAATCACCTAGAGTTGCATCTTCAGCAGCCTTCTGTTTTTTCTGAGATGACTTCTCTTTGGAAGCTTGCTGTTGTAACCACTTGGGGTGATTACGCAATATGGACCAGCAATGAAGGAATTTAAACTCCTCTTTTTCTTGTGACTCGAGCAAAGTTTTTGCTTCCACAAGCTGTAGATAGATGAACAACATCAGCATTTCGAATATAGACAAGCAAAGAGTTAGCATTGTGATAATGAACAAAGTCAAGGCCTCTTTTAAGACACTAATATACCAAGTTTATGAGCATATATAGGGCTGCTAATACTCAGAAAAACGTAACAACAAAGTCCTCAAAATATCTAAAATATACGAGGCCTGAAACTTGGCAATTTATCTCCATTTTCCACTCGAATTAAAAACCATTTGACTCGATTATTATACCCCATAAATTCACATATTTTACAGATATATGAGCATGGAACCAGAGGTTCAAACTCAGCAAGAGCAGCCCCATAAACTCAAATTTTCGAAAATCAAAGAGACTCAAAACAAGGGCAATGAACATGATTTTTCGAAAAATAATTCTAATGCTTTTGATCTCAAATTTTTAACTCTCATTTTAATGAAATTAAACACATAATGAACCAGGTTTATAAACATAATTTTAGAGGCTCAAAGCTGAAAAAAAATCGCAGAATTAAAACAACTCATTTTAGCAATCAAAAGAAGCTCGACTATAGGCGATTTTTCTCTCGATTCTCGAACAATTTAAGAGCCTTCAAACCTCAACTTACCCTGTTATTAACCCCATGATAACACACATTAAAAGTGGTTTAAACCTAAAAAATACAGCAACTCAAATCAATGATTTCGGAACCCGGCATGGCTCCGAACAAGGCATAATCAATCCCGACTTATCAAATAACTCCAAAACAATTATCCCGACCCTTATATACTTGAAAAATATAAATTTTCAGAGAATTATCTCACTCCAAATCAAGAGTCCAACATCTGTTCTCATATCATCGAAAATAGTACATTGATTCACTTACTCTTTGCTCAATTGTCGTTCCACTTTGCTTCCTAGCCTCGAGCTGGGCAATACATCCTACGAACTTGTTAACATGCTCTTGAATAACACTCCAACGATGCATTAGAGAGTTCGCATTGCGACTAGAGGAGAAGTCTTTGTTCTCGTGGAAGTAAGCATGAATCCTATTCCAGTATGTGGTCCTTTTCTGATTGTTGCCTTGCACCGGGTCCATACTAATGTTAAGCCATGAATCCACCAATAATACATCCTCATTCTTCTCAAATTTTTCGTTCTCCCTTTGTTTCCTTGCAAATTTGGTGACTGTTCTTCCTCGGGACTGTTACTCATTCCATCCACTTGATATCCCTCTAATCCATCATTCAACAGATTGATGTAATATCCATTGAATTCAACATAGCCTGTACCAAATACAATACCGATCATCCAAGCACATCAAAAATAGTGTTCAGCAAACACATCAATCACTCATGAGCACTACTAGCCGATACATCGCATATCTTGCTGATGAGCGAAGCACATCAATCTTGGCCAGTATATTAGCATGGTTGAATAATACAAGGAAATGCAAGAAAATTAAAATGTTTAGCCTAGAACTAAAACAGCAGTACAAGTGTACAAATACACTACATATTTGATCATCTACACATGAATTGAAAATGCAAAAATTTACATACAGGAATATTGCCATTTCTTGCCTCATCAATGGAGATGAAATCTGGACCAAGATGGTAACAGTTGGATGAAGATGCAGAGGGTGGCTCTGGACGGCGCAGACTGGATGGACCTCTCGAGATGCTGGCGATGGAGTCTTGATCGGGCAGCGGCGACGGCACCTTGTTTGCGGCAGCTGCAGCGGCGGTGCCACCTTTTCGTCCTGGGGCGACGCCAGCACCTTCCATCCGGTAGTGGAGGCACCTTTTCGGCGGCGGCGGCGGTGAGGGATTCGACCTGTTCAGGGGCGGCGGTGGAGGGCGGCGAGGGGGCGGTCATGGATGCTGCGAGCGGGCGACGGTGGAGGGCGACGAGGGGGAGATGAAATGAACAGGGAGGAAAAAGACCGCGAGAGGTTGAAAGAAAAGAGCGCGTATCGAAAATAATGGCGGGGAGATGAAATGGGGGGTCGTTTTTCCCTCCCCAGGAATGAGGAAGAGAAGCCTATATTTGAGGTCATCCTAAAAATAGAACCAAGTTTGGGGAACTGTTGGAGACTGTTTTTAAGAGAAAAATCCCTATTTTTGAGATAAGAAAGAGGAATAGGGAGGCTCTTGGAGATGCTCTAACTCTCAAGCCTAAAACTTAGGGGGTGATTGTTTATGGATTCAACTAGTTTTTATTTGGTTTGTTTTTTAATTGTAGTTAATTTTGAAAAAATGTGATATGATTAGTTGTTAGTGGATATATTAAAATAATATTTAAATGAAATATTTAAAGTTGATTTGACGTAAAGTATGAGAAAAATGATTGGAAGTGATATATAGTTAAAATTATGTGAGTGGGTGAATAATGAATTAAAGTTGATGTGATGTATAATAATAATGGGTTGGATGGGTTGATATTAATCAATTATATTGATAATATGAGAAATAGTAGGGTTGAATTAAAGTTGAGTTAAATTTGAGTTTTGATTGATTTTTTTTACTGTAGAAACCATAAACAATCACCCCCTTAACAACTCATAAGTTGAGCCTAATTATTTCACAGGCCAGCCCATGTGAAACTTGCTGTAGCTCAGGCCCAAATTGCTGAGGACATTTTCGTCAACCAACAATAGCTAGGGTTTTGAAGCTTTCATAAAACTGCAAAATCCCATAAGCCCATCTTCCCCTCATCGCCCCTACATCCAAACTCTCCAATCTCCAGGTAAATCACTCTCATAGCTCAACCGCCTCTGTCATCGACTTTTTTCTGTTTTCTGAATCATTTACTTGAATTTAAACTCTCTCTCTCTCTCTCTCTCTCTCTCTCTCTCTCTGAATCAGAAGCTGAGACAGAGCAGAGAAAAATGGCGAAGTCGAAGAATCACACGGCCCACAACCAGTCATACAAGGCCCACAAGAACGGCATCAAGAAGCCCAAGCGCCATCGCCACACCTCTACCAAAGGGGTACTCTTTCTTTTCTATTTTCCCTGAATTTTTTTGCCATACACTGCTTTCCCCACACTGTTTGATTTTGTTTCGAAATTTGGTTAGATGGATCCCAAGTTTCTGAGGAACCAGAGGTACTCGAGGAAGCACAACAACAACAATAAGACTGGTGAGGGTGCCAGTGAGGAAGAGTAGATTTTCAAACTGCTTGGGTTTGGGTTCAGGTTTGGGTTCAGAATGTTTTCTTATTTTAAGACTTGATTTGCAATATTGTTGGATTTTATATACCATTTGGCTGATCTTTGAGCTGAAATCTTGTCAATTCTTACTTGGAGCTTCCTCTCAATGTTACGGTTCTTGTCGATGGTTTACTTCGAGCTTGATTATGATTGTTCATTGTTAGACTAATATTTGCATGTTTGCTATTCATATTTTGGCCTAAGCTAGTTTTGTCAATGAGAGAGATTCTCAGTGCATTTGGTTCCTTTAGATATTTGTTGATCAGTTTGGTTTTGTTCTCTGGGGCTTCCTTCGGTTGATTATCGAATTCATATGCTAAAATTATTAGTATGTGGTGACTCGTCACCAAATCAAACCAAAACCTTGTTTACAAGAAATATCATATCGTAAAATGTGTTAATAACCATGATACTAGGTTACATAATTATCTTCTCTAATTTTTTGTTGAAATCGTTTTGACTTATGCTTTATTTAGAATCTATATGTTGTAAAAGGATATAAACAAAATGAAATGCCCAATTACGTTTTGACATAATTATCTTCCCTAATTTTCGTATCGGGCTCTTTCATGAAATGCCATGTGAATATGTGTGATGTCAACTGTCGACTGCCGTCAGCGGCCGTTGATTTTGAAATTGACATTGAGTAGGATAGCAACCGTTGTCACACAGCTCTTGATCCCCATCCCTCGAACGATAAGTTTTTTTTTTCTTTTTTTTTTAAAAAAAAAAAAAAAAACGCACCCTAGTGTGGGATGGGGTGTTGAGGCTACACCCCTGACTTTTGAATATAATGGCTCTAAAAGAGCTAATAAGTCAAGGTTCTAGCTTAGTATCGGAAGTACATAAAAAAAAAAGGAAAAATTACACTTTACCTACCTAACTATCCGGAAATTTACACTTTGCCCACAAAACATTTTTTTTTTACACTTTGCCTTCCCAACTTTGATTTTTTGTACACTTTGCCATTCCCGGTCATTGTCGGCGACACGTAGCAATAAGGCACAAAAGCCACGTGTCGCCGACAATGACCGGAAATGGCAAAGTGTACAAAAAATCAAAGTTGGATAGGCAAAGTGTAAAAAAAAAAGTTTTGTGGGCAAAGTGTAAATTTCCGGATAGTTAGGTAGGCAAAGTGTAATTATTCCAAAAAAAAAACATCAACAAAATAGAAAAACTAAAAAATACGAGGGTCACAAAATGTCCGATGTGGATCCAAAGGCAAGTCTTCGAACGATAAGTTCTCATTGATTCTTAGATTGAAAGACGTGTTGGATGTCCCGGGGCTCAATGTCATTGGTGGACCCGGAACGTCTCGGTACACCATCGGTGTTGCGTCTGCAATGGATGTTCACCACTCGTAGATACTGCATTTTTATGTTTTGGTGGCCGTCCACCGGCACCAACATACCATCACGAGCACTTGACATTTCATAATTAAAATATAATTTAAAAAATAAAAAAGAAGGGTAAAAATGATATAAATGAGAGAGTATTATGTAAATAATTTATTGTACCGAAACGTAAATGAGAGATAATTTATAGAATCGAAATCGAATTAATCTAGAACTGAATCGAATTTACCTAAAATCGGACACAATTTTTGAAAAGTGGCAAGAGAAGATATGAAGAAAGTGAGTAGGACACAATTTCTGAAAAGTGGCAAGAGAAGATATGAAGAAAGTGAGTAAGCTTATGCTCAGCAATTGGGGGATGGCGGAGAGGTGTAATTTATAGATATTTATTATTATTATTATTATTATTATTATTATTATTATTATTATTATTATTGAACCGTCGGTTCAAGGCTGAACCGACAATGCTGACGGTTCAAATTAAATTTGGCTATTAGATCGCAATAGTCAGTTTAAATAATCTAACCATTGGAGGATACGTTTCTGGATCTAGTTCCAGTTCCCAACTGGCTCGCCCTCGCCCTGAAATATTTACAATAGTAAAAAATGGACGGTTGGATCTCCAACAATCAAAAGGATCCAATGGTCTAGGATTGATCTGACGTCGGGTCCAGTAATGGGGTTGACCCAACCTGGCCTGGAACCGAAAATTTTAAAAAAAAAATGAAAATTTTGGAAAAAGAATATTAATAAATAAGACGGGTCTCTGGGCTAGTTCCGGTTTGACTGTGATTTGGAAACAACGGTTCCCCAAATTAATATTTTGTGCACTAGAACCGCCCCGGAAACCATGGGCAATTTCAAGGCCCGCAGTCAACGGGCTTGATAGAGCCGGTACAACCCGTTACCATGTCTACTTTTGGATGTAAAACTGCATTTGAATAATTGGTTCACATTTGGCACAATGTATAGATATATTTAGTGTTCGTTTGTTAAAGGGAATTTGCAAAATGGACATCTTCAAAAGTCTATTTTTTACTCACATAGAATAGACATTTTGCAGAACCAATTTATCCATAAATTCATTTTTAATTTATCATCAAACATGATTGTTTATCAAATGAACTTTTGCAAAGAAGTTCGAAGACATTTGGATAAAATTATTTGTAAAAGTACTTTTATAAAAGTGATTTATACAACTACAATTATTGAATATGTCAATATGACGATATGAAGATGGAAAATTCCCCTCTAATATATATGCTAATGCAGAATGTCCTGGTCTTATGTGTCGATTTCTAATGTTTCGTAGTCCTATATGTCAAATTCTTGTGACTCAGTAATCTTATGTATTTGGTTTGGACTTTAGAGTATAAAAGTGGAACTTCTATCCATGCATGTTACGACTTTTAAAACTATAAAACATTTGATGAACTTAAATTACACATATATTTTAAAAGTTAATAACTTTCGCATTTGTTAAGATCATCCACATTCGAGCTAAGCGGAATTAAATATCACCATCCCAAGCCAAATATCGCGAAGATCATCCTCCGGTAGACAATAATTTCGATAAAGTAGACGCCAATTGTAGTCGTCAACTGTCCTGATCTGGATCCCACGATGTCATCTCACATTAAATACTAATGTACCATTCTTATCTATTTTTTATTTAATTGGTCCACTTGTTAAAAAAAGGAGAATAGTGTAAATTTGGTCCCAAAATTTTTCTGTTTCCCACATTTGGTCTCAGGCACGTTAATTCTGGTCCTTTTTAAATTTTCGTTGCGAAACTGGTACCACTCCGTCAATAGTTAACGGTCTTCCTCATTAAGACATTAGTCGTTATTTTAAAGTTGTAGGAAATTACAAATTTGGTCTCATAACTTTTGTTGTTTCCCACATTTTGTCCCAAGTAGTTTGAGAAGAAAAATCGAACGGAAGAAAAAAGCTCACTCCAGGATTCTTGACCTCTCTTATGCTTTCAAATGTCATAATGTCATGTTGGCTTATGGATCAATATGCTTTCATTGCACAATCGTTCGGATAGCTTTACTTTGCACTCGAGGATGTTCGGATTATTTTCTCTATTCCCACCGGAAGAACACCATTGGAACCACCATGTAGTGTTCGCGCTTTCTTTTCCGTATTTTCTTTTTCTCTTGTTTCTTTTCTTGTGTTCGTACTTGTTTTCTTTTCTTATTTTCATTTATTGTTTTTCATTTTTTTATTCTCGCATGAGCTTGTGTGATTATGTGCTCTATCCTATGTTTTTTGGTCAAGCAATGGGAACATTGCTTGTCATCATGCCTGCTTAGGCGGTATTTCTTTCATTTTAGATGCTTTATTTTTCGTATTTGTCGTGTCGTTGACCGGTTTTTGTTGTTGTTTTTGTGTTTGTGCCGATTTCTCTACATGAAGCTTGATGTTTGTTTAAAGCCAAGATGGCTAAGTGTGAGTTAAGATTGTCGTTCGGTATCATTGTTAATTTTCATGCTTTATGTACTTGATGAATTGGGCGGTTTTCTTTAAAATTAAATGATGATTTGTTGGCATTGGAACCCGCATTTAAATTCACAGAACCGTTTTGTCCCTTGTTTGTTCTCGATTGGTGATCTTGAACGTTCTTGCCTTGTGTTCGATCGTTGTAATCGTATTATGCTATACACTTGTGGTACGTCTTGATTGATTGTCGATGTTAATGTATTATATCATGATGTATCCTTGTGTAACGCTCCCTTCGAAAAAAAATATGATAAAATGTGAGTTCGCGAGAAAGTATGGATTAGGCTCCTCTTATTTCGATTCACTTCGTGAAATAAGATAATGAGCACGGAAAAGCAGTTTAGGAAACTCAAGAAAACCCCTCGAGGCTAAACCTAGATAATCATCGTCTGGAAATCTCGTTTGGAAAAAGAAGCTCACGGAAAAAAAAATAATAAAAATGAGCTCGTGAGAGTTGAAAGAGTTAGACTCCACTTGACCTGGTTAGTCTCTTTCGAGAAAAATCGGGGCAATGAGTACGGGAAACCGGGCCTAGGAGATTTGGGGACAAACTCCAAGGATAAACCTAGGTAATAATCGTCCTAACGACTCTCATTTGAAAAAATTTACTCATATAAAAAAAAAAAGAAAAAAAAAAAGAGAAAAAAAAATGGGGAGTTGGCTATGCGATTTCTTTTTTATTTGTTTATATGTTGAGTAGACCATCTATAGCTTTTTGCACTTGTGTTGGAAAAAATAGAGTTTGAATCGAGTTAATCATGTGTAAAATGACCCAGGACGAGTTTTTGTTTTGTATGGATTCATCTTGTAAGGATCGTGCCTTCGAATTTGAGTTTAATTTTGTGGATAACCGAAGGAAGACGAGAGTTTCATTTCGCATGATTACTAATTTTGGACCGTTGGATTTTTCTTCTCGAACTACTTGGGACCAAATGCACAACAAAAGTTATGAGACCAAATTTGCAATTTCCTACAGATTAAAATAACGACTAACGTCTTAATGAGGAAGACCGTTAACTATTGACGGAATGGTACCAGTTTCACAACGAAAATTTAAAAAGGACCAGAATTGACGTGCCAGGGACCAAATGTGGAAAATATAAAAAGTTTTGGGACCAAATTTGCAATTTTCTCGTTAAAAAAGGGTATGTATATATAGAGGGCCATGAGAGAAAAATAGAGGGGACACTATTCATGATCTCCTACAACAAAATAATCAAGAAAGAAGGAGAGATCTTCATCTCTCAAGAAATCAATAAAAATGCACTTTGATCCAACACCGATTATTCACACAAATAGGGGTGTATTTTTACGTTGATACAATTCTGCATATCAACAACTATAAGTGTCATTTTCAGCGAAGGGATGCGCCTTATCTGGGAATCATTTATTTATTTAAAAAAAAAAGTGGACAAAAATAAAAAAAAATGTGGAAAAAAATCAAACGGCCGGATTATGAGAATCCACGTTTTCAAGAAACACGGATTCTGAGAATCCGTTTTTCATTAATTTTGAAAGAAAAACGGATTTTCATAATCCGTTTTTCCTTAATGACGTGATTAACCTAATTAATTTAAAGAAAAATGTATTCTGAAAATACGTGTTTCGTAAAACGAATTGTGAAAATCCGTTTTAGTACTGAAAACGGATTTCCAGAATCCGTTTATATTTATTTTTTTATTTTTTTTTATTTTTTTTAAAAAAAACGGATTTTGAGAATCCGTTTTCTCAATTTAATTAATTGAAAAATGGATTCTGAAAATCTGTGTTCCAGGAAAAAAAATTGTAGAAGGACCCCAGATTCGGGACTCGAACCCTATACATGTGGGCGAGTCCGTTTTCTCCGGGCAGACTCGAACCCTATACATATATATTATAATTTACCATAGTATATACAATTATATTACAAACAATATAATATATACTATATAATATCATATAGTATATAGTGTAATATCCCGTCAGATTATTAATATAAATCATGTAATTAGTTCCGATGTAATAATATTATCGAGTATTATTTTTCGGAATTAATAATTTCAGTCGAGATTACCCGAAATTATTTTCGACGTCCCGGTTACGTTCGGAATAATTTTGGATATTAAGTATCATGTTTAGTGATTAATTAAGTATATAAATTATATTTAATTAATTATTAATCATGTTTAATGATCAATTGTCGTGAGCAATTAAGTTTTGTACTCAATTTTTATTAAAATGTCGTTTAGCAAGTGTGGGAGACTTTCTTCATTTCTTATGGCATGAGGTGTCACCTTTCTATGTGTTTTAGGGTGACTAATCCTTTTAATTTGTGACTATGCATGGCAAGGGCTTATTTAGTTACAAATGGCAAGATTAGATTAAGCCACAATTTCTCCTCATCACCTTTCATTTTTTTCAGTCATGTGCATATATAAAGGATGTGTTGGGGAGAAAAACCGCCTTCATCATCCTAAGTATATGCTTATTATAGAGGATGGAGAGTATTGTGAGAGTTCTCTTAG